AGAGAGAGAGAGAGAGAGAGAGAGAGAGAGAGAGAGAGAGAGAGAGAGAGAGAGTCCGTCAACTTCTTGGCAAACATTCCATTTTTATTGCAGGCGTAGCCGCAACAGGTCCGCTAGTTACTTCTTGTTTCTTCAAAGAACTGTTGTTGTCGTACCAGTGAGAAGATGCCACTCCCACATCAATTGGTGGTTCACAATGTACACATCGTAGACCCCCTTTTGCCATTGGCCTTGATTGCTGTTCTCGTTTGGCACGAGCAGTGGATGGATTGTAGTTCTCGGATGACTAGCACTAGCATTATTCTTCTAGGTGTGGTACGTAGCACATGGTCTTTGGTTTTGTTTTCAAAGCCCCCAACATTGTTGCAACTGGATCATCCTGGTATATATAGTACCTGGGCTACCAACCAGGGCACCCAGTTGGGCAAGGGCCAGGCAAGGTCCCTGCGAAAAAGGGAAAAAAAAGGACTGAATAAGTTGACGACTGATCGTCTGTGAATTTGGCCATTTGTAGTGTGCAGTCTATCTATCCACATCGTCCCCCCCTCAGCAGTGTGAAATCTATGGAGTCCTTTATTAATTTTGACATTTTGATGAGCAACGTCTTAGGACAAACACAACATGTCTTAGGACAAACACAAAGTTACCTGCTGAAATTTCAGATGATTGAAGAAAAATATTATAGAACACATAGTCTGACGTAGAAGCCGTTATCGCATGCATAATGTTTCAGCAAAGAATCTGTTTGTTTTTATATCTCGCTTCGCAAGGAAATGAACCCTCTGCATTGCTGATTAGTTCTCAGGTGTTAAGGGATGGCTAAGGGCATACGCACACGAGCACTTTCCTGAAATGTATCTGACTGCAATTACCTCAAGACCTGGATGCATCTGACTGCAATCACGTCCAGAGCTCAGTAGAAAAAGTCCTCCTGTGAGTATTCATTACCCTAAGGATAGGACAGGAGAATCTAGAAATCCCAGGAAACTGACTGGAGGATTCTCAGGAGAGTGAGGAGAGTGGTTTATTAATTTCAATCTTTTCCATTAGCAGGATTGCAAAGCCATAGAATTGCTGTTGCCTTGTGTCCTCTTTTTGTCAGGATTTGGGTGCAAAATTTTCAAAGAATGTGCAACATTTTCAGATATCTCGACATGACTGGTTCGTTAGCTAATGGTCACCGATTGACTAGTTGGTCTGTTTGGTGGGTGGGTTATTAACTTATGATTGCTTGTTTCATGTTTCAATCAGATGAACAAATTTATCAAGTTCAAAAACTCTGGGGTAGCATCCGTCTTTTTTCCATCCGCAGATATCCCCGATGTCTGCAGCCCCTTCGGTCCTCCTCCAGATTATCTTCCCACTCCTTGCGAGCCCGGAACCGCCAATCTTCAAGATGTCCCCAAGGTAAGTTACATGTTCACTCAACTGTAGCCTGCTCTTCATCTCTCGGGGGGCCAACATGGGGACCATCCCCAGGGGACTCCCGGGAGGTCCCCAAACTTATTTTTATTTTTTTTGCCCCGCAACGATAGCGTGGTCACTCCGCACCCCCCCTTTTCTTTTTTTTTGATTTAATTTTTTTTTTTTTTAAATCCATTTTCTTTTTTCAGGAAGTAGTTACATTTTCACTCAACTGTAGCCTGCTCTTCATCTCTCCCCCACACGTGGTCAACCGGGGGGGTGTGTTTTTTTTTTTTTTCGCCGAATTTTGCACTGAAACTGTCATATTTCCCTGATTTTTTGCTATGTTTCTTTTTTTTCTTTTTGTGCCTAGGCTACCAGCCGGGCCGCACGGGTCACCCTATTTTCCCGGGCGACCCGGCCGTGCAAGGACTAGGGAAGGTCCCAGCCCAAAAAAATAAAAAATAAATAAAAATCCAAAAACTCCGGAAAAAAAACTATGTTATGCAGAAAAGTAAACTGAACAACTTTTGCCTCAGGGTCACATCGAAATTCTTTACCAAATTTAAAATAAAAATTTTAATCAAAAAATATTTTTATATTTTAAAAAAAAATATATTTCTTTTTGGCCCGGCCGCGCAAGTGGACCCGGGCCACTCTGGTAGCCTAGGTGCTATATATGTATTATGTAGGTGCTTCAGGGTACGTTGTGTCTTGTTCTTTTTGACATGTTTTTGGAACATTGGATCGATATTATGATTCGATAATGAAAAAGTTTGCATTTTGTTGAATCCGTTGAACGCTTCATTTTAACTCGGAAAGTGTTTTTGTGTTAGGGTTCTATAGTGCATCCAGAATTATATTTTGCATGTACTTCTTTTTTTTTTTACTTAATTGTAATCACTGCATGACATGATTGACATCTACTATTTTGTTGTGTGTGTTGTAATGATTGCATTGGAGTGCATCCAGAATTATGCTTGCATGTACTTTTTTTGACTTAATTCAAGTTAATTGTAATCACTGCACGACACACATGAAAAAAAGAAGCCACACTATTGGACGACTTGACCGCCTTTCTGCCGCTCTGTTGTTGTTGATAGCTTTGATTTCCTCGCTGCTTGTTACCTACCTCCTTCCCTCAGACATAATGCCCTATCATAGCGATGATCGCGGGCATATACAAATTCTATTTTTCCTATTTCGTCTTTTTTTTTTTTTTTTTTTTTTTAAGGGCGATGGCCTTTTCTTTTCTCTTAAAAGGGCGATGATGGCCTTGATATATCATCGTCGAGAACTGACCTGCCCTAGGTAATTCAGAACTGTAACAATGGTTACAATTGTGGTAATTTTACTCGACCGCTCTCAGTGGAGTTCGAACTCACGTCTGTACTTGAGCAGTTCAGGGGTGTACCAACTGGGCTAGACCGAGGCCAACGAACATATGCAAATTTTGTTTTGTTGTAAACACAGTCATGATGCTGGGGCACTGTGTAGGCGGGCGGGAAGAAGATACTTCTTCTCAGAATTGTTCTTCCCGGAACTGCTGTCGGAAAAGAGTAAAATACACAATTGAGAATGCCGGGCTAATCTTCGGGGTGTCGTTCGTTCCAATTGTAGGTTTTATCTGATGTCTAGAAGAATGAGAAGATTGCCGGAACCCCTTGGTTCACAAATGGAGGAGCCGAATCAAAGAGAGCAACGAAAGAGGGTGTTTGTGCAGTCAAGAGAAATGAACCACAGGGCGGGATCCCCGAGGCAGAAAAGTCTGTGTGCCAATTGGGCCCAGTTCTGCCTTGGGATAGGACCCCAAGTGCCAAAAGAAACAGACTTGGGACGGAATGAACCGACCGGACCAAGTCCGAAGAATGAAGGAGAACCCCAAGAAAGAGACCACATGCCCGGTTGCGGCCAACCGAGAATCAATCAATGAGAACTCTGATGAATTGTGAGGTCGGTATGAGCATGTGCGGCAAGTTGGCAACCACAGGGCCCCAAGAATGGCCCTTGACAAAGAAAATGGGCCTTGGACTAAGCCCCAAGGCCCGACGAGCAGACATTCTCGCTTCAATCCAGAAGAAGATCTAGGAAAAAGGCCGTCCTGGGAAGATGACTAGCTTGAAGATCAGATCCCCCTTGGAGATGTGCTGAATCACCCTAAAACTGTGACCAAGCACATCCCTCGGGGCCTAGGGACCGCAGCTCAAAGAAAAACTGCACTCCTAGCTCTGGGACTAGGTGGGAAAATGAGTCTAGCCCTCGAACAAGCAGATTCTTTTTTTTCTTCTTCTTTTTCTTTTCCCAAATAAGCTAGATTCTTCTCTCCATTCCACCTTACACTACCTAACCACTCCTACTAATCATAGCATTACGAGGAACCCCGTAGCAGCGACAACCGTGTTCATGAATGTATTGTTTGTCCACAGACTGTCTGAAGATCAGTTTTTGGCAATCCCAAGACAAAAGTCTGGCCATTCTGCCGGTTCTACCGGACACTCAGCCTCTCACATAGGCTGTAACGGAATCGAATGGCTCTGTACCCGAGGACTAGTCACGAAGGCTTGACATATCCGATGTCTGGTTCACAAGTCAGTGAGCAGACGCGCGAGGGTCTAGAACACGAACCTGACACGTGGATTGCTCACGGCATCTGCGCCAGAACTTGGCGTTACAGTTGAAGCGGCTTCAACTCTTAAGATCCAAGCACTAGGGCGATGGGAGGACCATTATATAGTCACAACTCATGGACGGGGGGTGCACAGGCGAAGGTTGACTCGGGGACTACTTTCGCAGGGAAAGCTCCCTCAGATTACAGAACCTTACCCTAATCTGGGCTCTCACAACATACTCCTCCAAGGACTAGGAAGCTTCAAGGAAGCGTGGGACTGCAACACACTTATAAGGTGGTCCTGGGAAGGCTTGCTTGGGTATGACTTGGCCCATATTGCGTCAATGTAGCGATGTGATCACCTTCTCTACCATTTACCCTACCGTGTTCCCCTGAATAAAACCACGTACGGTCATTATCACCTTATCTAGAGTGAGGGTTGCCGCAAATACAGCTTCAATTGCCGTACATTCTACTCTAACATCTACCCTATGCCCATACGGCATTAAGGTACAATGGTGCACAGCATTGTACTCTGCAACATTTCGTACATTGACGCGGTACGGGCTAAGGGTAAATGGTAGAGTAGATGATTGCATGGCTGGATGAGGGACCAGCAGGAGTAAGGACTTATTCTTGTGGTTTTACTCACGTGATTAGAGGTGAAAAGATGGGCTTTTGTTACCAACAGACTTTAACATTTTCTATTTTTGTGCTGGTGTCATCATTGCTTTGTCATTGGACTCTTTTTCTACTAATTGCCTTGCCGCCATTTGAATGCTGGTGCAGTTTCCTTGCGCCCTTTTTTTTTTTATTAGTACTGTACTCTTGATTAATGGTCCATGACTCCGACTCCATGTATGTTGATATATTTATAGGAGTGTTTGTTGCAACTTTGATTTGTTGTGTTTATCTTTGCAGATTCTAGAACCACTCAGGTGTGACATAGACAACTTTGGGTCCTGTGTAAGGAAGAAAAGACCCATCATAAAGTCGGTGTACGATAACATGACGGCCTATGCGGCTGCAGCTCAGAAAATTGGAGTTGCAGTGCCACCTGCGGAGGAGCTTGCCAACTGTCAGTTTGTGACCGACACATTCGAGATCTTAGTGGAACAGCAATGCGGGACATCTAAAAAGGTTGTGCTGCAGATGGCGTATGGATTCTTGTTAGTATCCGTCGCAATGGTGGGGCTAGTCCTTGCATGGATCCTAGCCCACAGGCACATTGCAGAATGGGGACAGTTCTCTGGCCAAGTTGCGGAGGAACTGAAGCCCGATTCAACATTGTCGTCGAGTGATGGAGGCAGAGATGGAAGCCGTGAGAGACTCGTCAGCGACAGTGGGTATATTGGTTCGCCAGCGACGACCGATTCACCCATGACGAGTGGAGGGGAGGGCCGGACGCCTAAGTTGGGAGTGTTAGGAAGCAGTGTCTCAAGTCCACTTCCCATGAACTCCTTGAGGTGCGGACCTCGTCTACATTCTAACGTCTTTCCGCAGTACATGAAGCCCATCTTGAACCTTCCACCCGTTCGCCGCAAGACCACACTGAATCCCTGCAAGAGCGCGAACTTCTGACGCCTGACCGCCATTCCATTACTCGCAAAAGGATTGTGGACATCGGAGCGAAGATCAACACCGTCCGTCAACAACTGCCAACTGCGAGACTGCGTCCAAGTTTGCCTAGCGCAGCTGAAACAGAGCACACAGGCATGGAACTGGAGGGGCGTAAGTTTATCTTAAACCGCCAGTACATGCCAGCTATCGGCCGCGGGCCCCCTTTCGGAGGCCACCCACCGCCGGTTTCATTTTATCTACGGTGCTCGGCATCCTAAATTTTTGGAGAGGCTCAAAACAGGTTCTCCAGTTGCCTGGGACCATTACTGGTGGTTTAAATGGGTGGAAATTAGACACAGGGGTAAGTAACTGAATCAAGGACAGACTGTAGTGACTCGTGAGACATTTCTTCAACTACAGATGTTCGGATTAAGATTGTGTGCGTGCAGCTTTGATGTGATAGGATCTGGATTGGGACGTGTAGGAGCAGTTGCGACGGTGGTGGTTAGCAGCAGCAGGTCTTAAGGCAGGGAGGGAGATACCAATGATGGTTTAGCAGGTCTCAATGCCCCGGGGGGACATCAGAATTGGGGAGGTTTGACAGCAGTTTAGATATGGTAGCAATGAGTGGGTCGGAACGAGTCGCGAGTGTGTCAACGTGGGGGAGATGCCGGCAGGAATGCTGCGATTGAGTCTTCAAGCGCACAGTTTGGAGTGACAGCTATGTGCCTCTCTCTTTTAGGATCTGAAATGGAAAGGCTGGGACCGTGGCGCCCAGGGGGAGGTTGGACATCAGTTCAGATGGTAGCAATGAGTGGGTCGGAACAAGTCGCGGGTGTGTCAATGTGGGGGAGATGCCTGCAGGAATGCTGCGATTGAGTCTTCAAGCGCACAGTTTGGAGTGACAGCTATGTGCCTCTCTCTGTAAGGATCTGAAATGGAAAGGCCGGGACCGTGTCGCCTAGGGGGGCGGAAGATGGGGAGAGTGAGGGCGAAGCTGAATGACAGGCGCGGAGATCGATTCTTTGTACTTTTGTCCGTACTGCCTGGCAAGATCTGGGTTGGTAAGTCATAAGAGCTGGGATTGTGACGCAATTGGATACGAGGAGACAAGGAGCGCACACAGTCACACAGTGTGACAGCCGGTTCTGATTCCCTTGTTCAGGTTGTTGTAAAACCTACAAATCTGGAGTCCTCCCGGACAACCTCTAAAATTGGAATGATACAGAGAAAGAAGATTTAGCATGGGCCCAAAGCAAACAAAAAAAAGAAGAAAAGAAAAGAATCCCTACACAAATTTGGATTGTGTGGAAGAATGCAGACAAAGAAGATGATGATGACAACAACAAAGGAGGAGGAAGAGGAGGAGGAAAAGGAGGAGGAAAGGAAGAAGAAAACAAGGAATCTGGATTGCGCATGCACTGAAATGGCATTGAGAAAGAAGAGGAGGGATAGGAGGAAGAAGATGCATGACAATGTAAGAAAACTGGATCGGACACACAATGTAATTGTGCACTGAAGATAAGAAATGGAATCCCAATTGTGCACACATTGCCACACAGTCACATTGCATCAGATATGTATGATGGCCACAACTCATGCCATCGCAGTGTGTACAAAATTAGTAATTGCACATCCATAAGAATTGACAATGTAGTCCTTCGGGACATCTGTTGAAACTTGAAATTGGAACGATATAGAGAAGATTAGCAATGCCCCTGCACAAGGTGGACACGAACAAATCGAGAAATGGTCCAAATAAAAAAAAAGAATTGACAATTCAAAAAATCTGTATTGTGCACACAAGGGAATGGTGTCGAAGAAGAGCCTATTGAAGAAGAAGAAGAAGAAGAAGAAGAAGAAGAAGAAGAAGAATCTGGATCTGCCTCCTGGACACACTGCAATGGCATGAGTTGTGGACAGAGGCTGCGCACATAAGATAGCAGGAGAGAGGGCAGTGTGGAGGTGGAATGTTGTGTTATGGAGAACAACTGTGATGTGGATGGGAGATGTCATTAGCGACCAAAGTTCTAGGAGGAGAAAAATGCTGTGATGGGAGAGGTCATTATGGGCCAAAGCTCTAATGGAAGAAATGGTGGTGACAGGGTTTCAAGTCACAGATACAAAATGACAGACCGTGAGCTCAATGAGTCAATCTCTAAATGTTTCTTTGCAAGAATAAAGTCAAATGGGTAGATCCAACACCATAGAGGTCTTTCCGAGAAGCGGAGAACTCTCCAGAGTCGAGAACAGAGAGCGAAGGAATGCTACCCCGTAAGCATTTCTAAGGCATCGCGCTAAGACTTTAATAAGTGTATAAACTTTAAAGTACTATAAACTTGTTATAAAGAGAAAACACCGACTCCTGCAAACGTCGGACGTCAGAACGGTAAGGACTAAGATGCTATTACACCTTGTCCGCCCACAGTATCTGAAGAACAGGCTGACTCTGGTTGACTCTGGTTGACTCTGGTTTGACTCTCTGGCTCACTCTGGCTGAGTTACTTGACCGACCTCACTCCATGGAGGAGCTGCAGTTTGTGTTGGAACACCTGAACAACAATGAGACGCCGGAGACCAGGGATATATTGCTCGACTAAGGAAAATTTGGGAGAAATTTCGGCCCACAATTGATCGACTGTCGTCAACTTCTACGAAGACAGCTGGAATAGATAAGGGATGGGCGACTTTCTCAGAAGGAATGGAGGAGCTGCAGTTTGGATTGGATTGCAAAACATGAACACCGAGAAGAAGACTCCCGGAGATAAATGGATTGACTAAGGAATTTTGGGAGAAAGATTTGGGCCCACAATTGGACTGGATCTCATGAACTTCTCTGGAGACAGCTGGGATAGAGAAGAGGTGCGCGACTTCCTCAGCACTGCTTTACAAAAAGGGGGAGCGATAGCTTGTAAGCAATTATCGACCCTTCCCCTTATTGAGTCCCCCTTATAAAATTACAGCTAAGGCCCTATTGATTAGAATCCTCAACCTGAATGACAAATGCTTCCACATTGATCAGGCGGGTTTCATTCCAGCGACGTACATTTTGGATGATGTACTCACAGTCTCACACGTAATGAAGCCTTGAAAAAGAAAGTATAACCGAAAACTTGCGCGGAAAGAGAATTCAGATAGCCATTTTGGATAATGTACTCACAGTCTTCAAAAAGGTAATATAGAAAAGAGCTGTGTAGCATAGTGTGTTTGTGTGTGGTGACCGAAACCGAACGTTCGCGACCAAACTCGGACGAGCGCCAAAACCTAACAAATGCAAACATGAAAATGTTATTAAAAATATATATATAAGCCTCCTGAGGAGTCGGTGAAACTCCGACGATACAGTTTGTCACAGCCCCGCGTTGTTGTCCTCTTCTCCCTCTCTGTCTACTGTTTACTGGGCAGCTCTGTTTGACTATATATATAATATTATATATTGCAATGAACCCAGATCGTGAAGACAGTTATCAACAAAGCAAGTCCAGATGAATGTCAACAGCTGATGATTACCAATAGTCAAGATCGTGTCCAGACAAAATGAGACGAGATAATCATACACAGACGAAGGAGAGAGGAGGGAGATTAGACAAAGGAGAGGAAATAAATACAATGCCCACTCCTGCTTCGGGCTCCCTCCTCCAACACCACTTCAACAATCGACAGTCTGAACGAGTATCTGAAGTAACCTCAATGTGCCACGTGGCACGTCTAATTAGTCCCTCATCAACACTGGAGCAATGTCAACATGAAGACAACCAGGTACGTATTCACGATCTCTCCACAGTCCTGATCTTCCTCTTCCTCGCAACCAGTCACCTCATGTAGACAGCGTGGACAATGCCACGTCATAAACAAGACAGGTGGCAATGCCACATCATCAATGAAGACCGATAGCAGCGCCACATATACCAGAGGCAGCGCCATGTCAGCATGCCACGAAGACCAGAGGCAGCGCCACATACACCAGAAGCAGCGCCACGTCAGCATGCCACGTAGACCAGAGGCAGCGCCACATCAGCATGCCATGAAGACCATAGGCAGCGCCACATCAGCATGCCATGAAGACAACAGGTGGTGCCACATCGGCAT